TTAATTATTAATTATTAAGTTTATATTGCCTTATTCTGTTTTGATGATGATGATTGCCATAGTTTTCACTTCTAAGTTAGCGGGTATAAAGAGTTAGAGTAACACAAGGGAGCTGTGAAATAGAAGAGAACTGTGGAGAACAGAATACAGCGGTAATAGGGCGGTTTAAATAATTAAAAGAAATATTAATTGAATATGCTATTTGATTAACTGAATTTTTCCCAACTTCTGAATGTTCTTCAATCACTTACCTGTATTTTATAGAAGAATAAGGGAATGCACTTAAGGAAGAACAGAGAAGAGAATACTAAAAAGAGGGGAAACAAGAAAAGAAGCATAAAGGCCAAGTTCCCATTTTGGTTTCTTAGCAGTGCTCTGGCAAAGTAAAGCGGCCTTAAATCAGGCTTAACTGATTATGATGGGTTTATAGATGCTTTGCATCAGCTGAATAGCACAAAGTAGCTAAAGCCACAGGTAAATCTAGCCCTAGCCCTGGGAGGGAAAAGAATGATGTCCTAAGAGCAGGGATTAACACTGAAATTTATAAATGCACAGGTGGATGCTATGAAGGAAATTGCAAAAAGACAGAAGTACAAGATAATTAACAGGAAAAAAAGCTGAAATTTACAGAAAAGGAAGACAAAATCATTAAGGGAAATGCACAGTTATATGCAATAACTATACCTGTCTGTCAATAGTACAAGGTATTCAACAAATATTTTGTTATATCTCTGACTTAATTCTGCAGGTAGCAAAATGTTTTCGTTTGAATAGTCACAGTTTTAAATTAATCGACTTCAGCCAAGTTTGCACCCCTTTTATGTTTGTTAGCCATAAGCATTTGCATGATTTAGTTTTGGAAAAGAGACTGGAAAAACAATTTTTGAAACTGCACCTTAAGGTAGCTTACAGAGTTCCAAATTACATACGCGACGATCGACATACTGACACCACAGGTGTTAGCATGCTTCCTGGAGAAAACAACGGAGGCGATATTATCCAACTCTTTTGACCTCTTGCAAGTAAGCCATCTTGGTCAATTTTGGCACGTTTTGTCATTACTGCATAGGTGAACATTTCTAGTGTAAATCTGAGTAAAATATTTCAGCAGCTAGAGAGAAGCACAAATCTACTTAGAGATATTCTGAGTGATGATAAATTAGCTACATTCACTTCATGAATAATTTCTGGTTAATTCCTCCATTTAAACCATGTAGCATAATAAAGAAATCTCTGCTCTATTTAAGATTCATATCAGAAATCCAGACACGAGTTCCCTGCTTTATTTTTCTGACATCGTCATGTTGTTCCTCTTGTACGGTTAATGGGGGAGAATCTTTGTATTTGTGCTATAATGGATCCGAAAATGGATCCTGAACTAGTCCACGGAGCTCCACTGCAGTAAGCCCTGTAAATACATACAGAGGAATAATGCTAGTCGCAAGAATTTTACAGTTTAAATAGTCAAAATAGACAACCAGGGGAAAATGACATCACTGAGAGCTGAAGTGAAGAGGCCAGGACCAGCAAGCAGAACAGCTGGAAATGAATCACAAGCCCCCGCGTTCCTAAGCCAGCGTCTCTCCATTAGATCACACTGCTGTTTTCATGAGATTACTTTGGGGCTTTATACTGAATCCTAATGACCCCAAATCTAAAGCCCTTCTTATTTAATGTTTCGTCAGCTCAAAATAAGATTTGTATGTTCCTACAGAAGCACTAAATACCTGCTCTACGAAACAGTGCTTTAGGCAGGGTCAGCACGACAGTATTTCTAGTTTGTGTGTGTCATACAGTAGGATTCTGTTACTATATTTTTTTAATGATTTTATAACTTGTATACAATATTCTCCTGTCATGCCAATAAATAAAAAGTAGTCCAGACTAGTAAAGTCCAGCTGCAATCACCCTACCATAATAAGGTCATAAACTTTTATTCCAAGACAAAATATGATGCAGCTTATCTCTAGCTCTTGCAGAAGATTTCCAAAGGAAAAACACAAATAACAATTATAAAACCCGCCTTTTTATTTGGATGTACAGGAACAGAATAAAAGACTAGACTGAATTTGTGGTGGAGTAAAGGATTCAACGGTAGCTCTGCATCAGCCCCATCACAGGTTGTGTCTGAAAGGCAGCTGTTCACTGTTAGTGGTTATGATTTTAAGCATAAATTACTGCAGCAGAGACTATATTTACACTGAAATTACGCTCACCTGCACTGTGGACTAAAGACTTTCAGAAAGCTAAACAAGTCAGCCACTCTTTGAGCATCATTTATAAAAATCCATGTGGCTTGGAAGATGTTCTTGCTCTCTTTGGACTTGTATAAGAAATGATTGATAATCATTTCAAATAATAAATAATGATTAGTAAGAATGGGAAAATAAAAAGATCTGCAGCATTGTGCTATGCAATGTGTAGGCCAGGTCATTACATCACAGCTGTCATACTTGCAACACTGTGAATAAAGACAAGAAAAATAAATAACAGTAAATCACACAAACTTAGGCTGCTTCCTAGCTTGGTTGTGTTCTTTTTATGTTGTTATTTGTTTGCTTGTTTGACAGTGGTTTTGTGTAAAGACCATCTGTCACACAGACCATATCGGTGGGTCTTATCCTGCACAATTCTGAAAGTCCTTGTTAACGTATATGCTGTGAAAGTACTAGATCCTTAAGCAAGAAGTGCCCATGAAGAGATTAAACCATGCAATGCCTTGTTACTGGGAGCTGGAGTAGAGCACGAAATACGTCCGATCCTGCCAAGGCACTGCTTTTCTAAATCTAAATATAATAGTCAAGTTTAGTACTAATACAGAAAAGCAATGTTTTCTTCACAAGCTTTATTGTGAGGAGGATTTTAATGTAGCTTCATAGAGCCAGAAATTTGTTCTTTGTGTAATCACGAAGGCCTAATCCTGTGCTCATTAAAGTAATTGATAAAACTCTCACTGATGTCAGTAGTGTGGGATTGAGCCCTAATATATATATTGGCTTTTGGACATACGTGTCACGTGAAAGTTAATAAATGAAAGGCACGGGGAAACACAGAGAAGCTGCTCAGAAGCACATCTTTTCGAAGATTGAATACCGTTTCCTTATCTCACAGACGCACACATGCAGTGAAATGGCTGATCCAATCCAAGACTCCTCATGTTCCAGGATAATGGTGATACCTTAGTCAATGATGGGCGATGCAGCGAGGAAAAGGGAAAGCTTATATGTGCTTTCGCCTAGTGAGGAGAAAACCCATTTTTCTAAACTGGTGAAAAAGAAAATGAGAATGCATAATAATTTTGCCAGCCACACAATAGAGATGTTCTTGCAGAATCATATGAATTAATTACAGTATCAAATAAGAAATCTCTGGCTTGATTTCTTGAAAAAGCAATTCCACATGCATGAAGGCAAAGTTGAATACGGATTTAGGAATTTGGGACCAGCTGACATGCTGAGCACAGTAACAGTAGGTTACGCAGGATAATACCTTTTCACCCAAAATACTTTCCTAGGTTAATAACTGCAGACCAGATGCTTTGCTAGTGTAAAAAGATGAAAAGGCCTGGACTTTCAAGGAACTATAGCAAACTAAAGCAGCTACAGGTCTACTACCACTAGCAAATTGTGGTTTACATTTCAGGAACTCCTCTCAAAGTCTCTGACTTTTCTCTTCATCCTCTACCTTCTTGTCTGAGATTCTTCTGCCCAGTAGGCTTTTTATCTTTAGCCTGATACACAGTTTCCTTCCTCTTCTTGCTCTCTGTCTGCAACACACCAGCTGTGTCTCTGCACTCTCTATTTTCTCCATCTGAATTCAATTCAGTTTCTGTAGTAGGCAAAATTCTGGGCTTAGTTAAAGTAACAGATTGTGAGCTCATTTACTTCAGTGCTTTTTCTTTAGACTTATATGGGGGCAACTAAAGACCATAGTCAACCTACAAAAACTTAAACTTCCTTTTTTAATATTATTAATCGTTTTTTGTTTATTATAGTAATGCCTATAAACTAACCAGAAATGAAGTTCCATTGTGCCAGACACTACAAAAGTAGTCGCCATTCTGAACCTCTAGCCCTCTGAATAATCTTTGGCACTGTTCCTCTCACCACTTCTTCTATTCCCAATGATTTATAAAAAACAGTGTCTTTTGTTCCTTATACTCTACTAAGAGGAAGCTAGTCTAATCAACGTTTGTGAAATGCCTCCTTTCTCTCACTTTCAATCATTCATATAACCAATAAAATCACACAATCAAATGCTCTTGCAGGATACACTCACACAAAACCAGGACAGGAATTTAGGTTCCTGCTGCTTGTTGAACTGACCCAGAATTAAACCATGCAAGCAGGTTCACATCTGAGGATTTGAATCCAAACTCCTTCCCATAGAAATTAAAAGAGGATCAGGTTGGAGGTTCTGGTTTTGCACCATTTCTAATCCTAGTAATTTCAACTAAATCCTAATAATTTCAACTAAATCCAAGCCTCAGCTACAGAACTGTGCAATTTTAATCAGGACACCACCAACAAATCTGAAAGTGAAAATAGGAAGCTGAGAGAGACATTTGCAGCTAGTGTCATTCATTAGTAACACACATATTAAGTAAGCATTGAAAAGAACCTGATTTTTCTCTCTGCTTCTGCACTCTTGTGACTACTAATTTCAGTGGCGTTATCCCTAAGTGGAACAAGAGTTGGTCTTCAAGACTCATACAGGGTCAACATAGTCTATGTAAACAACGTTAGTTCACTTCTGGTCTCTGTTCTTTGACAAAAAAAAAAAAAATTCTTCACAGGTTTTATTTTTAAGTAATTCACTGCTTCATCAGGCCCAGTGAGGACTGGGCTTTTGATTGCTGAGTAAATTTTCTCTTTTGTTCTGGTAGAACATGTTTTCCTGGGAAAAGAACTGGGATTAGCATTAGACTTTTTAGACATTGTCTTGATTTCAGTTTGAACCTGAGTACATTTTGAAGTTCACTAATAAACTTGTTTTCTCAGTAAACAGGTCAAGTATGACTCCGCAGACAGACATGGTGCAAGGGCAGCTAAAAGGGCCATATCAATTCCTGATGTCATCTGACTTAGGTAAGTGGATTTACAGACAGGTTGCCTTTGCCTGCCCACTGCAAGAAAGTTGACTACAAACTTTAATGGACACAGAGGCAGAAAAGGTCAACCCATTTGCTATATTGACATTGATAGATATATATAAAAACAGCCATTTAAATCCTGTCACAAACCAGTAGCTTTTCAGTTCAACTTAACAGCTTAGTTCTGCTACATATGGGAAGAATGCAGTTCTCTGCATTTATAAATAGATACAACCTCCACGCTTGCTTGTTAACAATATAATTGGGAGGTTTTCCCCCAAATCAAGCAGAAAACTTGTGTTTTGTCTTGCTAAGAAGTAACCTTGTTTCAACAGGAATTGCTTTTTGAATGCGAAGAAACATACTAGTGTTATCCATCTCAAGGCAGCACTTCCATCATCCTGGCACTACACATTGTATGTGCTGTTGCGTTGGTAGAGTGCCATGCTTGAAGCCTGTGATGGCAATATTAAGTTGACCTCAAGGAGGACAAAGGACTTAACTCTCATGTGCATAAAAGCTGAATGCTGCTGCTGAAAAGGGCTTCTTGGTCTTTCTGCAGCCCCAGTTTAGAGGTGAGATCCTTGCTGACTGCCCATAACCTTCATGGGAAAGAAAATGAAGAAGTCACACCTTAGGAGAGACAAGGCAAGCCATCCCTAGTAAATGGTTATGATTGTATTTCTTCTTTCAGCAGACCTAGCAATATGGTTAGACCTTGGACTGAGTCCTTAGCCAGAGTGTCTGTGGTATTGCTTTCCTTTGGGGGAGAAATGCAATAAGTAAGGTGCAATTCATTGCTGCAGTTCTGTATTTTTAAAGCCTGTACACAGAGCCTTTTTTCACAGAAGATCGTAGGGAAAAGCAAGAAGCAGTCAGCGTCTTTGCTTACCAATCTAACCCTGCTTTTCAGGCCTTCCTTGTGAGTTTTTCTCTGATTAGTTCTCAGATAATGCCCCTAAAAAAAAAGTCCATGCAGCTGTGCAAAACATCACCCCCAGATACCCTGTTATTCTGCCTGCTGCATAGTCAATAAGCACATTGCTGAGGGCGCGCGTTATTTGCAGAGGTAGATGCCAGGGCCTGCTTCACGTTCTCCTGCCTCAATTTTAACACCATGTAATCCGCAAGAAACTTTGTGTTGTCACAAGTGTTAACGGGCCTTCTCTTATGTGAGTTCTCCCCTCTTGTTCCCTTTTGTGGATCTTTTTCCTCTTCCTTCAGGCTCTCCCTTCCCAATCCAGTGTTCAGCGCTAACTTCCTTTACCCGTCCTCCTCTTTCACTTTGGGGAACCTTCCCGAGCTCTTTCTGGGAGAGCTGTGCTCTCCTTTTCGTTGTCCTCCGCTCCCTCACGACCCTCACAGTTCATTCCTGTGAGGTGTGCGTCCGCGCTCGGCCTCCCTGCGCAAGGGATGCGTGAGACTCGGGGCCTGCGCGACCC